TGAAAAACGTTAATCTCTTGTTTAAAGGCCATAATATCACTTTTCTTATTTTTTTTATATAGCATAAGCCGGTAAACGAGCAGACGGATCACCTGATGATAAGCAATCGAAACAAACACCCGAAACACCAGGCTTTACAAGTGCGTTACCGGCCTTTTGGGAATTGGGAATTTGAGGATTGTGGAGGATTCGGGGATTCGGGAGACTAGGGCCCTCCCTTATCATCTAGGTTAGGTAGGAGGTAACCTTACACACACGACGAAATACAACGCAAGCGTTCAGAACGTAGAATGACAATAAAATTGTTGTTGGTAGATTATAAAAAACATATTTAGTTGATTTGAGTGTCTATCTAGCAATTGGCGTTCCATAGTCTTTGCCTGCCGCTATGGGAAACAGCCGTGAGGTTATATATATCCCTATCTTACAATATAAGTACGCACTCATAATACTCAATCTTCTAACCCTTTACCTACATACATTAGATTTCATTAATAACCTTCTAGTTTTCTTTTAATCTTCCACTGCCGGCAGAAAATTATTAAAGGCAAATCCTCCAATGGCGCCGGTGATCAATAAACCCGGTGGCGTTAAAAGTGTTGAGAAACAAAAAAAAACAAAACACAGTCGCAATTTGACATCACAGAATGTAGGTACTACTAAAAAAACCCGACTTCCACTTTTCATTATTTCACTTCGAAAAAAAAAATCAAAATCTTCGTTCGTACTACAATGGACACAAGCCATTCATTCTTTGTCCACTCACTGGGTCAGCAGAACTGTGGTTACTTTTATGACGGCAGTATACCACCCGCAGCGTCCCATGTTCGATTCTCGCCGCTAAATAGTTATACAGCATGAATGAATCTACTAATTATGTATGAAATTGTGATTTGTGGGATGAATGAGATATGGAAACAGAAAAAAATGTTTTTGATAAAAGTGTTAATGCAAATGTTAAGTGTGGAGAGGAATATAGGTTTTTAGTCCTAAACTATTGAACCAATTTCGATGAATTTTTGGTACTTACAAAGATATTCAAACAGTGTTAACATTCATTTTTGCTACTGATTATGTAGTCGAAAATAAGTTCTGCATTTTACTTTAACCTAACCAATTATCGAATTGACGAAGTAATATTCTAATCAAAACTTCATTAAATTAAAAAAAAATATGCCAAAAACATCTTCTAAAAAAATACAAGAAACCTATTAAAATCCTTGTTAAAATTAAGTATACGTTCAAAAGTGTGTTTGTTTGTTTGTTTGTCTTTCACGTGGCAACTACCAACATCTAATGGTCTGTGTTTTAGACGTATTTTACTTAACAAATTAGTCTTCATATGTCAATCTATAATAAACCTGCAATCAACAGACATTGTACCCACAAAGTTTCGCATATGTCTCCATAACTTTGTTTCTCACGCGCATTTATAAGCAAAACATATTTCTTTCAAGTAATTTTTGCCGATGTCTCAAACAAATTAACACTAGCTATCCACGTGTCGAGCCCTTTTGTGTATTTTTATGGTTTTATTGTAGCTTTTTGTCGTTCGTAAGATAACCCGTTGACGGCAAGGCAAGGCGACTCTTGCGCAAGCCGACAAAAGTGAAAATGACAGACAGTAAAAGTCCAACGATAAGTACTTATTTTTGTTTTTTGAAATTTTTATAACACCCGGCGACACCTTTGTTTGGAGTTAAAGGGTTGAGTTAATAATAATCATGTATTTTTTATATATCTAGGTTATTTCGGTAACTACAAAGATTGTGCTTTGTACTTGATTAGAGACTGTATGTAACACAATTTAAAGTTTAATTTCAAATGCATTAATCTTTAACGTTAAGTTATTGTTTTTAATCATTAGTAAACTGAATAAATTTATTTTAATTCTGTGTTAATTTCAAGCTGTAATAGAAATATAATTTTGTTTATTTTTGTAAAATTGTTTTCCTATATGAATACTAAATGTTTATTTAGTCATGTTAGTAAAATATTTCGATGTTATAAAGTATTTATTAGAACGAATGATACATTGCATTTACATCTTGTAAGGCAACTATATGTTCTGTGTTCAACAATAAAGATATTTAATTTGATAAATGATTTTGTGTATTATTTGACAACCAACTTCGCCAGTTAAAATCACCTTGAACTATAAATGAAAAAAGAAAAACAAATGAGATTTGTAAATACTTAATTTTATTAATTCTGAAACTAACAGATGATATATAAGTATCCTATCTAGATTCGAGTAGTACGACATAAATATGTATTTATACTAACAAGAATTAATTTAGCACATCTATCAAAATTGTGCTAAAAAACCATAGCTTTTGGTAAGCGTATGAGGTTCCAAAAGTGTACATTTAATTATATTTATAAACCTAACTAAAAACTTAAATTGAGCAAATAAGCAATCAAAATTAATATAAAATGTAATTCGAATAAATGTTATTTAATTTATTATTATACAAAAATAAGGTACGATTGTTAGAAATAAATAAAATTAGAATATTATGTGTGTATAACTTCTGTGCCATTCCTTTTAATGTTAATAAAATTATTATCTATTTCTTTCATATACATAATTATAAAACAATTATTTGTAAAGTTTATATTTTCTCAAAGAAAGAGGTATTTTCCTTTCTCATTGTTGTATCGATAAAATACTCTTAAATACTCAATGTTATGTCAAAATGCAATAATTTCATTCATACGAACTCGAAAATCTAATCACATTATACAACCAAAAAAATACGAGTTACATTTCACTGAATTTACAAAATACATTTAAAATGAAACGAAGCTAAGTGTGCACTTTAAATGAACCATTAATAAATTCCAAGTACAGTAAATACACAAGACATTGAATATAAGTAAGGCTATTTAGATTGTAGGTACCAATAAACCACAGTGCGCAAGACCTCTATACGTAAGTAAAGGTTATTTCCAAGGCGGTTCATCGAAATCGGTATGGTCAAGGCAAACATGGTTATGTCAATTTTGGCAGCCTCTGAATACTTCAGTTCTATTGACTGAATCCTTGTCACTTTAAAGTGTTAATTGTGAGGATTAGTTTCTGGGTCGATTTCGTTTACGATAATATAAATATTTACGTTCAAAAATGTTTATATTTGTTTTTAAATGTACTGCAAAATATTAAAGAATTGTGTGGTTATCAGAAACCGAATTAAAAATGGAATTTATTTTGTGTTTTTGTATTAGTTAATTTAATAACACAAAAGTCAAAAACAAATGTAAAAGGAAATTATTCAACCCTGTAACCGCGAAACTGAGGAAAATTTCATTTAAACTGTCAAACACCAAGCGGTCACCGGTGACCGCGACCTATTGTTCTTTAATTGTGTCTATAAAACCGGTACTCGACGAGTTAAATCGAAATAAAATGAAGCGAAAATTGTATTTAAATGTAAACTTAAATTGTAAATAAATGAAATTATATTATATATAAATAGAACTCACCTCATACGCTTGCCAAATACTCGATGTCTTATGCTAAATCGATGCTTGCATATAAATATATATTCAACTGGAATGTGCAGAAGCCGAGATAGGTACCCATGTTACACCAAACACCGTTATTTAAACTTTTATAATTAAACTTATATATTATATATACAAAACTTATATATCTACACTCCTAACGCGATGGTTCATGACAAACTCAGATTCCATTTCGCCTAGCTAAAATTATACAACGGGATAGAGACAGAGTATGTTAAAATTAAACTATGTTTTATATATTAAATGTTTCAGAGGTTACAGTTTTAAGTTAAATTATTAATATATTAATAATTGTATGTTTCTTTGAGCACTTTTTTAATATAAATAATAGGGCATTTATTATGTTATTTTCAACGCTGATTTTTATATTTATATAAGTACTACTTTATCATTGAATCATCGATATACCATGATAAGATATTTTGAAATATTTTAAGCTCTTTTTGAAACCAAAGTTTGATTTTAACACACTTTGTCTCTTCCATCTTGTATATAATATATTTATATATATTTTAAATTTTATACACAATTTGTTACACAGACATTGCACAGTTGAACCGTCCACGATATGACGTCACTTCTCGTTCCGTCGTATACCGACTCTTAGCGATTGTTTTTTTACATTTTGATTGTTGTTTCAACTTTTTTGTGGAGCGTCTGAAGGTAGCGTTGTTTTTGTTTGTTTTTTTTTGTAAATCAATATTTTTAATATCGATGTCATAATGTTCTTTTATTTTGATGACTTAACATGAAGTTGATATTTTATTATCACTTGCATCACTACGCTTTGAATTTTGAGGTATCACAAAAGAATAGCAATTTGAATATTATATTACAAATTATTCTTTTTGTAACTCATTTATTTTATGCACTAATTCAATCAATCAAAGCATTTAGTTAAGCAAAAGACATCAACGCGCTACGCAAACAATTTATCTAAACAAAAACCGATAAACAAAGCGATAACGTATTGATCGCGATACGCTCACACTTTTATCTAACTAGAGTACGCTGACTTACGCGGGCAAAGCTCCCACTTAGCATTCCATCAATTTCATACAAAACCCATCAACTAAAAGTTGGTATACAAGGGGCAACCGATTGTAATGACTATAAAGGACACTTTCTTAGAAGTTCCACAAAACATTTTAGGCCTAACTTCGCGCAGCCGCCGCCCGCCCCGACTCGTCTCACATCGTCCACCGTGCACTAAACATCTATACCTACTAATAAAACGCACACAAAATGGACTCATTTAAAATAATCGCAAATATTTACACAATATACAATAGTCAGGTCGGGGGGAGCGCTGCAGGCGCGGTAATATCACCAGAACACGAAACGCTCACTCGGAGTCCAATATCAGGAGATGAGATTATCCAGGGTGTGGCGTGGCGGGCCAGCTAGGGCGCGGGCGGCTGCGGCAGGCACCACGAGGGTGCGCGCCGGCCCGCCTACGCCAGCGGGTACTGTCACAAGGGCGGCTGCGCGTGCGCGTGGTGGTGGTGGTACAGCGGCGACTGGTAGTAGTTGTCTGCCGGCGAGTGCCCGTACCCATAGTTCACGTCGTACATCTTCAGGTCAGCCTTCGTATCGGCACCAGGCAGTAGCCGAGTGATGCTGAACGGGTGCTGGGCGGGCGCGTACCCCGTGGGCTCCTGCTTTAGCTGCGCGTAATGTTCCAGCGCTAGCGGCGTATGCTCGGGCAGACATAGTTCGGGCGCTGCGTGTAGCTGTGCTAGTAGCTCGTCACGCATCTCTTTGTCCTCACCACCCGGCGGCGCACCACCTCCGACACCACCCTTCTCATGTGAGTGGTCGCCGCGCTTCTCATGTGACCCTCCGTGGTGCCCGTGTCCAGTGTGAGCTTTCTGAGCTTGTCTTATCGATTCTTTCTTCTCATCCTTAAATCGTTTCTGTCTTCGTAAGAAACAACCATTCTCGAACATGTTTCCGCTGTCTGGGTGCAGCGTCCAGAACGATCCTTTGCCAGGCTTGTCTGGCGTTCGCGGCACTTTCACAAAGCAATCGTTGAACGACAGCGAATGTCGTATGGAGTTCTGCCAGCGCTGTTGGTTCTGTCTGTAGAACGGGAACAGGTCCATGATGAACTGGTAGATCTCCGAGAGTGTGAGCATGCGCGATGGGTTATTCTGGATGGCCATCGTGATGAGCGAGATGTAGGAGTACGGCGGCTTGGCGTGTGTGTACGAGCGACGGTAGGTCTTGTCGTTACGTGCTCGCTGCAGCGCTGAGGTGGGCGAGGCGGCTTCCTGTTCGCGTGGTAGCGAGCCGTAGGGCACAGCACCGCCGCCGCCCATGCAGGACGCCATGGTGCTAGGCGGGCTGTAGCCCACGCCTGGGGAGCCCATACACGAGCTGCCGGCCACCATGTTGTTGGAGTACAGGTTTGGGTAAGGCTGCGCAGGCATGCAGCCCATACCGTTCACGTATGGGGGCGCGAGGCCCGGCGACAACGAGGACAGCGACGCGGACGTCGGCACGTCGCCGTACGACAGCTTCTGCGAGATCATGGCTAGCGCATCACCCGCGCGTGCACGCCGGCCAGGGGCAAACACTCGCACTGATTGAAAGAGTAAATAGAGGCCGGGGGCCCGCGCTCCCCTCCACTGCGCCGCGGATTGGCGCGCTGCGGGGCGGAGCCTCGTGTACCCGCCCAGCGGTCCGCGCACCCCTCGCCCCGCGGGGCCCGGTTTGGCCCCCGCGCCACGCTCCCCCGCCGCTCGCCCCTCGCCCCTCGCCCGCTGGCTCGGTGCGCGGCCGCCGTGCGCGACCCGCCGCTAATAATACCGCAGCTCCAAACGATAAAACCATGGAATTATCATAAGTGTTTCGGCAGGAATGTGTGCTTGTGACGACCGTTGAGACACGCCGCACGCCGTACAAGGCTCTACAAGTATTCACTCACAGTGCGGTGATATACGTATTCTTAGAAAATGTTTTTCAGAGATAAGTAATGCTCGCGAGTTGTTTGCTGATGTTTCAGTACGCGTATGTCTGTCCTTTGTTGTGGTTTCACTCCCGATTAAATTATCTGTGTGTCGTTTTCTTGAGCTATCTATAGGCTGCTATCTCACACTAGGAGTACCTACTTGTACACAATCGTAGCGTCCACTGAATGGAGAACTGAAATGGCTCTAGTAGACTCGGTATTCTCGTTCTCTTTTATAGACATAATTATTAATCACTTCGTTGTTAGATGATTAACCATAATATTATTATACATAATTAATAATTGTATTTTGTATCAAATTAACTAATATTCTCGTAGGCGCCGCTACGCTACGGCTACGGCTACGCATCGCTACGAAACGATAAGACAATAGTTGCCCAATGAGATAATACTTTAGATTTAGACAAATAAACACTTACTTTTCTGTTATTAAATAAATAGAATATTTATTGTTCGGATATATATTGCGTTTTGTGCTTAAATTCAATAGCGATAATCCTTACGATAGTTCTTTCTTTCGTTTTCATTTTTTACATGGCTGAAAAGTTTTTTCTTCAAATCAAGTGTTTCTAGACCCAACATTACAGGACAAAGGATATAACAACTTAAATTAATCCTGCCGACTTGACAAAATACCAAAAAATATTTCTTTTTCGGCTTTAGGAATATGTAGTACCTGTGTCAGTACCTCAATTAACATTATTGTGTCGTACTTTTCTAAAACTGTGCAATACACATACACGATGTAAACAGAAGGTCTCGAAACGCTGACAAAAAGAAATTGTTTAAACAATTTTAATAATCTTTATTTTCAACATTCAATGTGTTATCTTGCAACATGAGCCTTGAGCAGTTTTAAGTTAAAAAACATTGCCCCACATTAGGATTTTCTCCTGTCGTGGGTGCGTTTAGAAACAAACAAGCTCACATACACAATGACACCGAAACCTGAAACAACGATTTGTGGATCACACAAAGTGTTGTTCCGTGTGGGAATCGAAACCACGACACGTTGCGCGGCAGCCGGTTGCCCAGCCACCACACCAACCGTACAATCAGTTGATTACAACTATTATAAAAAGAAACATTTAATTCCTTACTTTTATAAAACTAAAAAATTTGTTTTCACCATCACGTGTCGACGTTTTTCCGGAGCATTCCGTTTACACACATACAACACATTGCACACAAACAAACAAATAAATAAATACCATACAACAATAATAAAAAAATGTTGATACCTAATTAATATTGAACTTAAACTGTTGATCATTATTGCTTTAGTTTCAAAATGGTGTTTTTAAATATTTGTTTTGTTAATATACCGACGGAACATTATTATTATTTTATAATCCACTTTGAATTGTCATATCATTAAGAAAGCTTAATGATATGACAATTCATTTGGACGGAGTTTGTTTTATATTAGTTAATGGATATTATAGAATAGTTTCTTTTCGTTATCGTCGTGGTGGCCCGGAGTTTTAAGACACCCTCTTCTCGTGTATGAAGATGCGGGTTCGAAACCTACCAACGGCAAGTACTAATATGATTTTTTCCGAGTTATATGTACTTCCTAAGATTATCTAGACACCACTGACAAACGGTGAAGGAAAACATCGTGAGGAAACCTGGGCTTAAAATTTCTAATTATAAGTTTGAAATCGCATCCACATTGAGCAAGCGTGGCGATTAATGCTCAAACCATGTGAGTAGAGGCTTTGGTCAGCAGTGGGCATTTATAGGCTGTTGATGAGTTGATGATAGAATAGTACAGTTTTAACAATTTCTTGCTTATATGTGTTTCATTTAAACTCCATTAAAAATAGGTAATACTGATATTACCTATCTGACTGTATACTGATCTGTATGTGCATTCATTTCAACACTGATGAAGACACACATTTCACATAATATTGTGTTTAGTCGATTACTGTATTAAAGAACGGTCGTTGCCTATTAATCAATGAATTCTAAAGGGTTAGAATTTTTTGCAGTTGTGTCAAAAGTCTCATGTAGGTATTAAGTCATTGCATAGCCTAAATATGCGTAAGTAAGTAACTTTAAATCGAGTCACTGCCTCGTTAGCCAAGTGGTTGCAAGTGTTACTGCCGGACAAGGGTTTTCGGATTCGATTCCCGGGGTCGGGCAATGTATTACTGGGTTTTTAAAAAAATCTCAGTAGTAGCACGGAGTCTGGAATTGTGCCCGGTATATGGCAATAGGCTCACGCCTATTTCGTGGGACTCATAGCATAAATAGTGAGGAGTGGGTGTTACATTGTACACTGGCATAATGTGTACCTCTGCTACCCCTTTGGGGATAAAAGGCGTGATGTTATGTTATGTAACTTTCAATTGAAACTTGTGATCTTATCTGTATGCTACAATAATTTGGACAACTACAAATTATAGTTTAAATAACTAAATTAATGTACTTGTAGATAATCTATATATATAAAAGAAAGTCGTGTTAGTTACACCACTTATAACTCAAGAATGGTAGAATAGATTTGGCTGAAAATTGGTAGGGAGGTAGCTTAGAGCCAGGAGACCGACATAGGATACTTTTTAACCAACATTTTTTTTACTTTTTACCGAAAATCACGAACGGGGACGGGAAGAAATGAGATTACGCGTACGAAGTCGCGGGCACAAGCTAATTTACAATAAGAAGCGCGTGGACGAAGTTTTGTAACATGTGACTAATTATTTAGATTCAACTTTGAAAAATTGATATCTTATAATAATAGGGTAGATGCCTAATTTTTATTTTAATGGTCGTCTAGTAGACTATTACAAAACAGTAGACAAGTATATTTCATTTTCTTACGAAAACAAATACTTTCGAGGATATATTGATTTACAATATCGCGTGACGTCACTTCTATGTACATTTTATACGTAGAAATGACGTTTTAGCCCCCACTCTTAAACTTTGACTCGTTTAATCTAAGTATTGTTTTCTTATAAGACAAAATAAAAAAATACGTGTCTAATATTTACCATTACCTAACTTACGGACTAGTTAAAAAAAATCGCATCAAAATCCGTTGCGTAGTTTTAAAAATCTAAGCATACATAGGGACAGACAGATGGCGGATAGCGACTTTGTTTTTATTATGTAGTGATTGCACACATACAGAAAAAAATGTTTACAATGTAACAGTAATTCAAGTACAATGGGCGGTCATACTACATGTGGCGATTTGTCCCTTGGATGGAGTTTTTAAAAATGAATCTGTGAAAGCGTAGTGAGTACATAGTAATATAAAAAGAAAACAACACAACGAGAAAATCGTGCACAAACATTCATATATACATACAGGTCTAACTATGTTAATGTTAGAATAAGAATAAGAACGTTTATTTGCACGAAGTATGGTAATTATAGGTAATAATAATTATAAAAAAATAATCCCACATACATCGCCTACTGTTTTCGGCATGCAAAGTTAAGTTTTACAATATAATCAAGTTAAAATCTTACATTCAATAAAACCAATTACAAAATATTGTTGTATAGTTGTATATATTTTGTTTTGTTAGAAATTGAACATAAAATAACGTTATTCCGAAAGAGGTAGGCAGAGGTGACTGAGACACTTATCACCAGTTATGTCACCAGTCTTATGTATGAGTCTATTAACATAAGCTAGGTAACTAGTATAATTCCAGACCATTTTTTTTAGGATAAGCCGGTAAACGAGCTGAAATTTCACATGATGGTAAGCAATCGGCGCCGACTATGGACACCTGAAACACCAGTGGTGGTACAAGTGCGTTACCGGCCTTTTGGGAATTTCGAATTTGAGGATTGTGGGGGATTCAGGGATTGGAGAGACTGGGGAGGGGGGATAATTGGACCTCCGGTAACCTCACTCACACGACGAAACACAACATAAGCATTGTTTCACGTTGGTTTTCTATGAGGCCGTGGTATCTCTCCGGTCGAGCCAGCCCATCCGAGCCGAAACATGGTTCTCCCACACTTTAACACCATGCTAACATTAAAGTTGTTTGCACTTTGCCCTCCTCTAGAATCAAACCAGAAACGAAGTCATCTATCTATAATTAATGATATTGTATGTAAGTATGTGTGCAAAACAAATACAGTTATCAACAAATAGTGGTAATTAGCTAAGCAACGATGTTTGTTTTCTATTAAATTCAAAGTGTTGGTAATTAGTAACTAATGTTACCCCTTGACTGATTATAAAGATGGTACAAAGTCCTAGGTATATTGAGACAGCAATAATGAATTGTGAAAACAATGAGACTGCATGGACAATGTATGGTGTTTAAATGATACTATGTTAAAAGTAAACAAATCGTCTCGAATTGTGTTCGGTATATGGCAATAGGCTCACCCCCTATTATTATTAACTACGTGCTACTAGTGAGATTTTTTTTAAAACCCAGTAATAGGTACTTTGCCCGACTCGGAAATTGAACCCGCGATACATGAGACCCCTTGCCGGCAGTGACACTTGCGACCATTCGGCCAACGAGTCAACCTTTTAATAGCCTTTATGAGTTATGGAAGTGTTTCTAACTCATA